GAGGTCGTAGTTTTCCCATTCACAGAATACTATAAATGTGGCCTGGTTCATACTAGTGAGTGCCGTGCGGCCCATGTTTGATCAGGCATGGCAGCCGACTCATTTGAATGGGCTTCTGTGCCACATGAACCACACGTGAACACAGGTGCATGCCATGTCTTTTTGACCATACAGTTTCCCTGTGGTTCCTGCATCCGCGATCGTACTGCGGGCTGAGATGTGTGGGGATGCCATTTAGAATGAACCTAGCTTGAGTGACACAACCAGGCAGGTGGAGCCCCATATGGCCACTTTTTTAAAACTTGTGACAGCTAGCGGAGGGAGAAAATCCCCTGCTAGCTGTCAAAACGAGGAGATCGGGGAAACAGGTGCCGGTCCTTTCGCAACATGTTACATACTGAAACGTGAACTTATCCTTTAAACTGCAGTACTGCCCTCTGAACACAGCAGGGGGTATGATTTTTGTCCATCCGGTCCCTATACTGGGTTAAAGTGTAACTAAACCCTGGACTCTGCATTCACTATCTGGTCTCCCCGGACCCTGCATTCACTATATCTGGTCTCCCCACACCATGCATTCACTATATCTGGTCTCCCTGGACCCTGCATTCACTATATCCAGGTCTACCCGGACCCTACATTCACTATATCCGGTCTACCCTGACTCTGCATTCACTATATCTGCTCTCCCTGGACCCTGCATTCACTATATCCGGTCTCCCCGGACCTTGCATTCACTATATCCGCTCTCCCCGGACCCTGCATTCACTATATCCGCTCTCCCCGGACCCTGCATTCACTATATCCGCTCTCCCCGGACCCTGCATTCACTATATCCGCTCTCCCAGGACCCTGAATTCACTATATCTGGTCTCCCCAGACCCCGCATTCACTATATCTGGTCTCCCCGGACCCTGCATTCACTATATCCGGTCTCCCTGGACCCTGCATTCACTATATCTGGTCTCTCTGGACCCTGCATTCACTATATCTGGTCTCCCCCCGGACCCTGCATTCACTATATCCGCTCTCCCCGGTCATTCACTATATCTGGTCTCCCCGGACCCTGCATTCACTATATCTGGTCTCCCTGGACCCTGCATTCACTATATCTGGTCTCCCTGGACCCTGCATTCACTATATCTGCTCTCCCCGGACCCTGCATTCACTATATCTGCTCTCCCCAGACCCTGCATTCACTATATCTGGTCTCCCCGGACCCTGCATTCACTATATCTGCTCTCCCCGGGCCCTGCATTCACTATATCCGGTCTCCCCGACCCTGCATTCACTATATCTGGTCTCCCCGGACCCTGCATTCACTATATCCGTCTCTCCCGGACCCTGCATTCACTATATCTGCTCTCCCCGGGCCCTGCATTCACTATATCTGCTCTCCCCGGACCCTGCATTCACTATATCCACTCTCCCCGGACCCCGCATTCACTATATCTGGTCTCCCCGGACCCTGCATTCACTATATCTGCTCCCAGGACCCTGATTCACTATATCTGGTCTCCCCGGACCCTGCATTCACTATATCTGGTCTCCCCGGACCCTGCATTCACTATATCTGGTCTCCCCGGACCCTGCATTCACTATATCCGCTCTCCCCGGACCCTGCATTCACTATATCCGGTCTCCCAGGACCCTGCATTCACTATATCCGGTCTCCCCGGACCCTGCATTCACTATATCCGTTCTCCCCGGACCCTGCATTCACTATATCCGGTCTCCCCGGACCCTGCATTCACTATATCCGCTCTCCCGGACCCTGCATTCACTATATCCGCTCTCCCTGGACCCTGCATTCACTATATCTGGTCTCCCCGGACCCTGCATTCACTATATCCGGTCTCCCCGGGCCCTGCATTCACTATATCCGGTCTCCCTGGACCCTGCATTCACTATATCTGGTCTCCCCGGACCCTGCATTCACTATATCCGGTCTACCCTGGACCCTGCATTCACTATATCTGCTCTCCCAGGACCCCGCATTCACTATATCTGCTCTCCCAGGACCCTGCATTCACTATATCTGGTCTCCCCGGACCCTGCATTCACTATATCTGCTCTCCCCGGGCCCTGCATTCACTATATCCGCTCTCCCCGGACCCTGCATTCACTATATCCGGTCTCCCCGGACCCTGCATTCACTATATCCGCTCTCCCCGGACCATGCATTCACAATATCTGCTCTCCCAGGACCCTGCATTCACTATATCTGCTCTCCCCGGACCCTGCATTCACTATATCCGCTATCCCCGGACCCTGCATTCACTATATCTGCTATTCCAGGACCCTGCATTCACTATATCTGCTCTCTCACAGTACATAGAACATGGAAATGCAATTATATTAGTAAATAAACACTGCAAAACACCTTTTCTCATCAGCAGTATAAAGCAGTCTTGTGACTTCTATCAGCGTCCAGCAGAACACATATTAAAACTTGTAAAAGGAGTTTGTTTTCTTTCTGCTCTAGGAGGATGCAGAACACCTGACCTCTGTCTGGACAGTGCTGATTGGCCCTGTGCTGACCACATGTACTCTCCCAAGAAAAAAAAAAAAAACCCTAGCGATACACACCAAACTGAGCATGTGCAGAGTGACACCACACGATATGTCTTATCAGAAGATAAGAGAGGGACACTGAAAGAAGGGGAGGATCAAACAGCCTTTTTACACAATTGACGATTAACCGCATATACTCCGAGTATAACAAGCATGCTTTACTGCATATACAGACTGATTATGCTGTTGTGGGTTTAGTTTCACTTTAAGGGGGGGGGGGGGGGGGGGGGGGTAAAACCTTGGCTCAATCACCTATTTTTACCACCTCCCAACCACAAGTGTAAGCAAGCGCTCAATGTCACATCCATTTCATAAAGCTTTATGACTCCCTATTTAATATCTATGGACTTGTTACAATGAATAATAAACCAGGCAGACATCCAAGATTTCTATGTCTACAATCAGTATGGATTACACCTGGCCAGTTTCCCAGGAGCCAGAAACAAAGGACCAATCACAAGACAACCCATGTCATCAAACTGCATTTTTATTCATTTTCCTTTGACGTCAGTACCTTGGCAGTTTCCAGTTATCTGTAATGCAGTGATTTCTCATACAAACACAGTATAAAATGTGTGCTCACTACACACTAATAATAAAAAAGACATCTATAAATAGAAGATTTAAATTACACAAAAAAAGAAAAAAAAGAAAAATATTTTCTAAACAGAAGCCTTTACAGAGTGAAGCTGCATTTTTTTCAAAGACATTTTGGCAACCTCCTCTATATTCTAAGCCACCCTTAAAGGGGATGTCCATTAAAAAAAACAAAAAAAAAACAATAACAACAACTCTTTAAATGTCCAAAAAATGATTGTACTCAGATATGTTCGGTTTTGAAATTGCAACACATTTGTTCGTCTTTTCTTTTAATTGGATTGGAATTTTGATGGAAAGAACTGATTTGTTTCTTAATTTAAGGTGCAGGAGAATATCAAGTCATAAAATATTACATCCCACCTTTATCAAAAACAGACTCAAATTTTTGATTTTTTTTTTTGGATTTGATTTGATTCCTCCATCGTCTTTTTTGAGAAAAACCTTTGCAGGTCAGGAGTTCTTGTTCCACATCAGTTACTCACCGACAGAATCTGTATTATCTGTAGTGTCCTGATAGATATTATTTATTATTATTTATTTCAGGTACTTATATAGCACCGTCAATTTATGCAGCACTTTACATATATATTGTACATTCACATCAGTCCCTACCCTCATTCAAGGTCCCTAACCCTCAAGGGGCATACAATCCCTAACCCTCAAGGGGTGCACAATCTAAGGTCCCTAACCCTCAAGGGGTGTACAATCTCTAAGGTCCCTAACCCTCAAGGGGTGTACAATCTAAGGTCCCTAACCCTAACGGGGCATACAATCTAAGGTCCCTAACCCTCAAGGGGTGTACAATCTAAGGTCCCTAACCCTCAAGGGGCATACAATCTAAGGTCCCTAACCCTAAAGGGGTGTACAATCTAAGGTCCCTAACCCTCAAGGGGTGTACACATCTAAGGTCCCTAACCCTCAAGGGGCGTACAATCTAAGGTCCCTAACCCTCAAGGGGCGTACAATCTAAGGTCCCTAACTCACATTCATACATACACATATTAGGGACAATTTAGACAGGAGCCAATTCACCTACCAGCATGTCTTTGGAGTGTGGGAGGAAACCAGAGTACCCGGAGGAAACCCACGCAGGCACAGGGAGAACATGCAAACTCCAGGCAGGTGGTGCCGTGGTTGGGATTCGAGCCAATGACCCTAGTACTGCCAGGTGGAAGTGCTAACCACTTAGCCACTGTGCTGCCCTATACCCTAAGGGCCCCATCACATCAGTGGCATTCATTCTGAGTGGGCCCCAATGCAGAAGAAATTGCTCCAGCTTTATTTTTATTTTACTGCAGAGCAAAACACAATGCACATCGTGAGCTACAGTGGCTGCAAGGAGCTGTAGCGCAGGTGCGTGCTGTAGATGCGTTCAAAATGAATAGCAATTCAACGCACTACAGCATGCTTGCTGTCTTATCATGCACTGTAGTAACATCATGGACGCCATAACTGAGCACAGTGCCCCACAGGTCCATAGTAGCAGGCCCATTTTTTATTTCTAGGTTTGCTATAAGTCCATCTCTGTCAGGCACAATGCATACATAAAGCAATAGAATGTGACTGGTCGAGCTGCTATATCAGAGTTCACCAACAGATGTCAGTGTCAGCATTAAATGCAGCATGAAAGCTGCCGCACTTGGAAGTATGAAGGAGGGATCAATAGCAAACCAAAATTTTCCATACTGGCCAGTTGCTTGTTCAAAGTCAATATTCCCTTAGATGCAGTCTCTTTGGCAACAAATACATTTCTAGAAGCATAGAATCAAGTGTTAAATATAAACCGTTCTGTATCAGCCACCCCTCCCTGCCAATCCCTCCACTAACCTCCACTCAGTGTCCTCCACCCCTCTCTGCCAATCCCACCACTGGCCTCCGCTCAGTGTCCTCCATCCCTCTCTGCCAATCCCTCCACTGGCCTCCACTCAGTGTCCTCCATCCCTCTCTGCCAATCCCTCCACTGACCTCCACTCAGTGTCCTCCATCCCTCTCTGCCAATCCCTCCACCGGCCTCCACTCAGTGTCCTCCATCCCTCTCTGCCAATCCCTCCACTGACCTCCACTCAGTGTCCTCCATCCCTCTCTGCCAATCCTCCACTTGCCTCCACTCAGTGTCCTCCACCCCTCCCTGCCAATCCCTCCACACTAACCTCCACTCAGTGTCCTCCACCCCTCTCTGCCAATCCCCTCCACTGACCTCCACTCAGTGTCCTCCATCCCTCTCTGCCAATCCCTCCACTGACCTCCACTCAGTGTCCTCCACCCCTCTCTGCCAATCCCTCCACTGGCTTCCTATTGCCCAACGGATAAAATTCAAAACATTAACAATAACATATAAAGCCATTTATAACTCCGCCCAAATTACATCACCGATCTTGTCTCCAAATATCACCCAAACCGTACTCTCTGCTCCTCGCACGACCTCCTGCTCTGTAGCTCCCTTGTCTCCTCCTCCCATGCTCATCTCCAGGACTTCTCCAGAGCTTCCCCCATCCTCTGGAACTCTCTACCCCAATTTATCAGACTATCACCTACTCTGCTCACTTTTAGGCGATCTCTGTAAACCGATTCTCTTCAGGGAAGCCTATCCTGCCCTCAGCTAATAATGGAATCTTCTATTCTTCCTACCAGTCCATCCCCCACAGTTATTACCTTTTGTACCACTAGCCCCTCCCTCTTAGATTGTAAGCTCCCAGGATCAGGACCCTCCTATCCCTCTTGTATTGAGCTGTATTGTTGCTGTATTGTCTCCCGTTATATTGTAAAGTGCTGGCGCTATATAAATCCTGTATAATAATAATTTAAAGTAATCATATCAAGAGGGAAATACAGGGACTGCCACTGCTGACCTCATTCTGAAAATGCTGCTTGTCTGGCAGCTTTTCTCACCCATGGCCTCTATACTTTGAGTGACTAACTTGGAATAAAAATGCAAATCGGGTAAATCAAGGAAACATCAGAATCCCTTACCAGCATATTAGTTCCATGATAGTAACTTAAATTGGTTTTAAACCTCAGACATGAAATTTGAACAAAGCAAATCCCTGTATAGTGCGTGCTGGTCTCAATTCAGAGCACTAGGTGCCATTTATGTCTGCTGCCTTGTTCGTCTACTATAAGCATGAGTCGCTTCTGACAAAGTTTCCTGACACCGAAAAAAGGTGACAGGGAGGGAGCTCCAGCACTAGCCTGTGATTGACAGCCTCAACTTTGTTCCTGTGTGCTGTGTGAAGGGGGGGTGTCCACTCCCTCCAATCAGCTCTTCTCACTGATGTAACTTCAGCTCCCCACCTGTTACTTTTCAGAGCTGAGAGATCCTGTGTAAATCCTGCACTTTGAATGGACGTAGAGAAGAAAACACTGTAGGTAAACAGGTACAACTTACGTAGGAGGATTTGTTTCACTTCACTGGGTATATGTAAGGGTTTACAAACACTTTAAAAACATTTGAGCAAGATGTCTTCTGAATTAATACCCCCATGCCTCGATCCTATCCCGTCTATTTAATTGCAAAATAGGAAAGAATCATTTAAATGCTTTCTCCTGCAAAATATAGTATTTCAGCCCCCTCCGATGGTGGTCACCTGGGCAAACTACGGTGCTGCTCATGTGATTCCTATTGAATGTGCCTGGAGCAGAATTCTCAACTTTTTTGAGACCAGTGCCTGCTAAATTCTTCCAAAACCATTTATGCCCCAACAGTAAAAAAATTACGTTTATACTCACACAATAAAAGTATGGAAATGCAAAAGATGTATTGAGATGCTAGAAAGCTCTGGATTTGGCTTGGTGTCACCGCGAAGGAAAGGAAGGTGGGGATTGTGGAGTAGGTTGGGGGACTCTGCTGCAGACTTGGTGGCCCTGTTAGGGATGAGGTTTGTGAAAGAGGTTGGGAGCATTTTGCAAGGTTGGGGGGCACTGTGGGACACTCTTGGAGGTTGGGGGCTCTATGGGGGGATGGAGGCTCTGCAGCAGGCTGGAGGGGCCTAGTGGGAGTTTGAGGAGCACTGTCTAGGCTATTGCCTCTTAGGGGGCCCAGGGGCACTGTGGGCCACTATGTGTAGTTGGGAGGGCACTATGAGGAGGATGTGTAGTGGATGGAGAGGCACTGTGGGAGGTTGGGGGACACTGTGGAGGCTGAGGGCTCTCAGGGGGCCAGGGAGCACTGTGAGCCACTATGGGAAGTTGGGGGGCACTATGAAAGCTGGGAGGCACTGTGGGAGGTTAATGGATGTGAAGCTGGCAAGAGGGGCACTGTGGAGGCTGAGGGTTCTCAGAGGGCCCGGGGGCACTGTGGGCCACTATGGGAAGTTGGGGGGCACTATGAAGGCTGGAAGGCACAGAGGGGGGTTAGGGGATCTGCAGCAGGCTGGAGGGGCACTGTGGGAGGTTGGGGGACACTGAGGAGGCTGAGGGCTTGCAGACTGACAGGGGCACTGAGGGCCACTATGGCAAGTTGGAGGGCATTATGAAGGCTGGGAGGCACTGTGAGAGGTTAAGGGATGTGAAACTGGCAGGAGGAGCACTGTGGGAGATTGAGGGGCACTGTGGAGGCTGAGGGTTCTCAGGGGACCCGGGGGCACTGTGGGCCACTATGGGAAGTAGGGTGGCACTATGAAGGCTGGAAGGCACTGTGGGAGGTTAAAGGATCTGCAACTGGCTGAAAGCCGAAAAGACTGGAGACCACAACCAGGTGGTTGAAAATCACTGTCCTAGAGAACTGGCACTCAAGCAACACTGGCCATTCAACAGCTTTGCCTGAACTCAGAGCATGTGATCACTCCTCAAGAGGAGGATCTGACATTTGGTCAGCTGGCATCAGAGAAAAACTGGAGTGCTGCAAAAAAGGATACTAAAAAATAAATATTTCAAACAATTTTAAGCATTTTATATATTTAAATGTGAACTATCCACTTTTATAACCCTTTTCAGATGGGAGAAGTCATTCCCTTATGGAACTCAGCAGAATAAAGTAGCGAGAGGTACTGTGACACAGGAGACTGACACTCCAGGTAGTGTCGATATTTCAGAAGACTTCAGGGGACAAGAACGTATGAACAGAGCAGTGCTTGGCAGCAAATGTACTGGGAAGACTATGTATTTGCAGTCTTCTCTTACAGGTAACTTGGATTTTGCTAGTTATTTTTTACAACGGGTCCTTTAGGAATGATCATCTAAGAAAAAGTACTCTTGAATGAATATGGCTGTAAAGAGTTTTGTTACACAGTAGAAAATTGTCAGTATGCTAACCATTTATCATTTTTTGTTCATCTAGAGTCAGTCCATTGTATCCTTCGCTACATTTATAAAACAGCATTTGTTGTTTAGGTTCTCCTGTACATTCACCCAAAGAAGCAATATTCTAGATTTTTTTTCCCTTTCTTCAGTGGGATTTCAAGGTCACACTCACCAAATAATTATTCACAAATGATCAATGATCTCATATCAAGAGCGGTCACAGCAAAGCATTTGGCATACTGCAATTGCTTTTTGATTAAAATCATCTTGTGTATATATCTAGCCTTGACCCTTAACATTTTTGAAATTGGAGAAAGAATATGAGCAAATCTAGGTCAATTTCAAATTTTAGAAGCATGCCTGTTTCCCTAGTATTAGCAGTGAGAACTGCTGTAAAGAGGCCTACATATCAATGCTTCAATTATAAAATGACCACCTCCAAATATAATAACTACCCTACAAGACAATCAACATCCTCCCCTGAGGGTGTACAAAATCATATAAGTGAAAGTGTTTTTACAAATTCATCCAATAACATAATAACTGTGAAATACAATCCCTAAACCATCCATCCACTATTCACCTTAATCCCCCCAAAAAATAAAAAAATTTCTTTATAAAGTCTACTACAAAATTAAAGTCCACTAAAAATTCCTTTAAAGTCCACCAAAGAAAAATCCAAACAATTCTTCCAACGATATCCAAAAAAGTATCCACCTCAAAAAAAAGAAAAATTCATATAGTGCATTACCTTTTATAAATAAATAAAATTATTATGAAAAAACTTCATATAATTAGTATGGTGAGTATTAGTGAAAAAACGGTGAAAAACGTGAAACAAACGTGAATCAGTGAGAATCAAATAAGTGTATATAACACTCATCAGTGCCACATCAAAACCAAAGAAAAAAATGAGTGTACACTTCTATTTGCAGTAAGGGTACCCTTACCAACCATCCCAATAAAGAATGCCTCTAATACTCCAGGAACTCCACAGGCTAGACCTCTCATGGATCTTTCCTCAGATCTATCCTGTTGCCACGACACTCTCTGAACTCCTCAGACACTCTGCTTTCAGTGTCTCCAAGAAAACATACAGAACATAGTATAATACCGCCAATCAAATTTACAATATGTACTTTATTTAAACTGCTCACATTGTAAAACTTTAAATAAAATCGCTTGTTTGGTGTCCCCTTACGATTAAGTCGATGACGAAACGCGTCAAGGGAAAGTGACGTCAAGACGTTAACCAGAACCGGAAGTTGACTGGTGGCCATTTTGGAGAAGGGAAAAGATCGTGGAGGTACACCTGGACGTCTCCCTGGATGGCTGTGAGAATTCTTTCATTCCCTAACAAGCGATTTTAAAAGTTTTACAATGTGAGCAGTTTAAATAAAGTACATATTGTAAATTTGATTGGCAGTATTATACTATGTTCTGTATGTTTTCTTGGAGACACTGAAAGCAGAGTATCTGAGGAGTTTAGAGAGTGTCGTGGCAACAGGATAGATCTGAGGATAGATCCATGAGAGGTCTAGTCTGTGGAGTTCCTGGAGTATTATAAGCATTCTTTATTGGGATGGTTGGTAAGGGTACCCTTACTACAAATAGAAGTGTACACTCATTTTTTGCTTTGGTTTTGATGTGGCACTGATGAGTGTTATATACACTTATTTGATTCTCACTGATTCACGTTAGTTTCACGTTTTTCACCGTTTTTTCACTAATACTCACCATACTAATTATATGAAGTTTTTTCATAATAATTTTATTTATTTATAAAAGGTAATGCACTATATGAATTTTTCTTTTTTTTGAGGTGGATACTTTTTGGATATCGTTGGAAGAATTGTTTGGATTTTTCTTTGGTGGACTTTAAAGGAATTTTTAGTGGACTTTAATTTTGTAGTGGACTTTATAAAGAAATTTTTTTTATTTTATTTGGGGATTAAGGTGAATAGTGGATGGATGGTTTAGGGATTGTATTTCACAGTTATTATGTTATTGGATGAATTTGTAAAAACACTTTCAC